CACAATTGAATTCGCCAATAGCACATCGAATGAGGTAAAGATGTTCGATTATTCCTTGATTCTGCTTTAATAGGCCTGTCTAAATGACTGGGTGATTATCTAAATATTTTATACCACTGCAAATTATTGCCTTCATCTATAGCATATACAAAAGGATTTGACCTAATGCTTTGAAGAGCAATACGGATTTTCTGAAAGTTTAAATGATTATCTCAGGAAACAATTTAGTCATAAAAAAGGTACAAATTAACATAAACATCTAAATTATGGAAGTGGGTTGACCTCGTTGTCGCAACTTGGTCTTGTTGTCAGGGTGACTATGTAGAAGGCACCTAGTCCGAAGTCGTCTGCCATAGTTGTATGATTCCCAGCATCTGACAGTGGAGTTGATACATTCTCACACGTTTCGCCAGCATCATCAGTGAGCTTTGCCATTCTCCGCACCAAGCTACGAGCCACTCAGAGACAAGTGAAGCCAATGCCTTGACAACCGTTCTGCCGAAAACGGTTACACTATCGCTCCCCTTTCTGTCATTGTCTATATATATACTCTTTACCCTCTTATCCCACTGCCGCCCTATCACAACTTCTCCCTTATTTACATTCCAATCGTCAAAATGTGTGCCCTTTTGTGGCAAACCCAGTGTGGCCTCATCACACTTGCTATAAGCCCGTCCCCTCTTTCGATGGGGTTATCCGACTCGGGCCTCCAATCCGGATCATTTCATTGTCTCGTAAATCCGTTCCTTATCTTTCTGGTTGACAAATTTCCCTTGGGTCCAGTACCTGTGTGCATTTCACTCCAGGCGCTATTTCTCAAGGCCCTAGAAGCACATACACTGCCGCTTCATTGGGCAGAGCGTTTAGGCTCTGATTCCCATGCTCGCAGATATCAGGCCTTCCCTGAACTGGTCGTCTCCTTGATTAAACCTATGTTATCTGAGCAAAATGTGGACGCCTATCTCTGGTTGCATGCTGGATTTCTAGTGCATTTTGGCCAGAACCCCTAATTTCTATGACAGTGTGCCTATCCGTCTGCTCAACTCCCTGATTGCCAGGCCCCCAAAGTTGTACTGGTTTATTCAAATGGCCATCACACACTGACAACGTCTTCGCTCAATTATCGAATACCCCTCCCCCCCCTTTCGTCATCGCAATCCCTTTTCCTCTGGTTAGCGGCAAATACTTGCTCCAAGCGTCTCTTTTTTGTTGGTCTTGTTCTATTGTTTTCACCGAGTTTGCTTAGGCAGTAGGCAAAGTTATTGCTAACTCTAACTTCCTCTATTCTCCTGTTCATTAGATTTGTATCCCCAAGGATGTCAATTGCCCCCCTAATGTTCCGCTTCCTTGTTTTGTCACCGTATGGAGTTCTCCTTTCTGTTGCCTTCCAATTGTTCTCGTACCCAGTCTGTGCGATGTGCTCCGCTAGTTCTGATCTTTCAGTATCCATTTTCCTGCATAGCCTCTGATGTTCCTTGACTCGTGTGCTAATTTTTCTCCCTGTTTCGCCGATATATTTCTGTCCGCAGCCGCCGCATGATATACAGTAAACTCCTGAACAGTCCAATTTGTCTACCCTTT